TGACTAAGGAATTTCAAATCCACTATGAAAAATACCTTTTAAGGCTCAAGCATAATGTTTACAATGCCTTTTAAGGATCAAGCACAACATCTCAATACAATGCCTTCTATGGATTCAGCACAACTTTCGCAATGCAATGCCTTTTATGGATCAAGAACAACTTTCACAATGCAATGCCTTTTATGGATCAAACACAACCTTTTCTCTCTTACAGTTTAATAGCAAGGCTATCTCTAGAAAGTGAGTTTTGCTAAGTAAATTCAAAGTAGAAAGAGTGTGATGAGTGTAAAAATGATTACAAAAGGTAGGAATAAAGACATAAAGGAATTATAGCACTAGAAAGCTTAAAAGCTTGGTGGAAAATTGTGAATTGCTTTCTCTAGCTTGGTTTCTCGCTTTTTTCTTCTTTTTCTTCATATAATTTGATTATTGATCAATAATGTTTTTCTCCACTCTTTTAATCTTGTAAATGTGTTGGAGAAGTCTTTTTTATAGTTGGAGAAGCTTTGGCAAAGAAAATAACTATTTTTTTTTATTTTCATTTGTAACGATTAGTTCTAAACCAAATGTATCGATACATTTAGAAATGTATCCACACATATTGGGCAGAACCATTCTATTTTAAATGTATCGATACTTTTGACCAAAGCATCGATACTTGCAGCTTAAAACATAGAAAATTCTTCTTTTGAACCCAATTTGATGCCAAATACTTGGACATTTCAAAATCAAATGCAAGGGAGGTTTAAAACTAATTTAAACAAGTTTAAAAGCTATTCAAACAAGTTCAAAAATCATTAAAGCAATTTTCAAAACTTATTCAAGTAATTTTGAAACTTTTCACATGAAAATACTTTGGCACTTCAAAACTTATTTAAAAAAGTTTAAAAACTATTCAAACAACTTTAAAAATTATTCAAAAAGTTCAAAGATCATTTAAGCAGTTTTGGTTATTTTTCACATAGAAACACTTATGCACTTCAAAAGTAAATGTATGAGAGTTTTTAATATTAATAAATTAAGTTCAAAAACATTTTCAAACAACTTCAAAAATCATGCAATCAAGTTCAAGGATCACTCAAAGAAGTTCAAAAATCATTGAAGCAATTTTGATCACTTTTGTCATTTTAAAACTATAATAATTTTAAACCTGATAAAGCTAACAGGGTATTCAGATTCAACAAAAGCCAGCTAAGAAGACTTAGAAAATGAAGAAAGGACTTATTGAATAAATGAAAAATAGAGAACACGGATGAGTTCCTAGCACCAATCAGCATACTCCATGCGTCATTCAAGGGACAAGATTTGCAGCCACTGTAACCCACTCTTATACCATGTTAGAAAATGAAAAAGACGGCATAGTAATATGGGAGAATTTGAGGGATTCTCATTGGAGGAAAAAGCAAAGAATGCAAGAGTTTATATACAGAGGGTTTTGGCTGTTAACCAAAAAGAGTAAAGCTGCTAAACTAACTAACTAATCATTGGTATTTAACTAATTTTCAAAAAAGGTGTTACTCAAAACGATGTGCATTGGCAGATAATTAAAAGTCCTTGCTTCTTTTATTGAAATGGTGCGTTTGTGAAGTTCTTTATGGCTTCCTTGTTTTGCTCGAGTTTTCTTTATTAAACGGTGCGTTTCTGCTGCTAAACTTCTTCCTTTCTTGTAGTTGATTCTTTCTTCAACCCGATCTTCCTATCATTGCTAAGCCACTTACGCAATGATTTAAGGTACAGGTATGTGTTTAACAAAAAGGTAAGCGGAAACCTCTCCAAATCATAAGATGCGGTCTAAGTCTCTCGCATACTTGTTTTGCTAATGGTCTTCTATTATTTGGGGAAGCTTCAATTTGCCAAATGCAGGATATGATGGAGACATTAGAAAAATTTTGCAGAGCCTCCGGTCAGATGGTGAGTCTGACTAAATCTAAAATGTTGGTTTCTTCTAACTTTAGCATCTCCAAGGCTAAACCATAGAGCCAGATAGTTGGAATTCCTCCCACAAAAGATTTAGGTAAGTATCTTGGTACTCCCTTGATTCATGGGAGAGTTACTAAGGATATTTATTCAGATTTGATTAATAAAGTAAAGTTGAAGCTGGAGACATGGAGTAACAAGAAGCTTTCCATGGCAGACGGAATATCGCTGGTCTAATCGGTAACTAGTGTTGTACCATCTTATTTAATGCAGACTGTATTGTTGTCGAATAATGTTATTGATGAGATTGAGAGGTTGCATAGAGACTTCATTTGTGGTCATTTGGGTTGTCCAAGAAAATCTCATGGTTTGAGTTGGAGCAAGCTTTGTAGTAATAAGTTGAACGGGGGCTTACAAATCGAGATTTAATGAAATTTAGTCTCACATTGTTAGCTAAGCTCGGCTGGAAATTATGGTCTAATTAAGATAGCCTTTGGATTGAAATTATAAGAAGGAAGTATCTTAGAAAGTTCAATTTTATGAAAGCTGTTGCCAAGTCTTCAGATTAGCATATTTGGATGGGTATATTGAAAGCCGGAGCTATCTTAGTGAAGGGGATAGGAAAAAACATTATGAATGGAAAGCCCACTTAGTTTTGGACAGATTCGTGACTACTGTGTGGTTCTTTGATAAACTTTGCAAGCTTGGGATTTAGAGCTACTTATGCATGTTTTGCCTCAAAACATAGCTCTTATGGTAGCTGCGGTTTAGATTGACTGCTCCAGTTCAGAGCAAGATTCAATTTACTAGACTCTTACAAGCAGTGGTGATTTTTCTATCAACTCTGCTTATGAGATACAATTTGATGCTGCTGCACCTGAAGCTCGTTATTGGAAAAAGATATGCCAGCTAAATCGTCTAGTAGGGTGAGACTTTTTATTTGGAGAATTCTTCATAACTCATTACCGACTTCGACTTGGTTGGTAAAGAGACGTTGTGGTTTGGCTAATGAGACGTTGATTCATGCTTTGCGAGAGCGTAAAAAATCCCAAAGAATTGTGGCTTCAGCTCAATCCAAGAGTGTTCAATGATTTCTTTATGGAACTAAATATTCAACAGTGGGTATTCAAAAATATGTCAAGTTCTTTGAGGACTGATTTTTTACCATGGAGCTCAATTTTCATTCACTCTGTGTGGTATATTTGGTGTTGGCGAAATTCTCTTTTGTTCGACAATTCTTTTATTTGGCCTTCAAATGCCTTTTAGTTTATTTGGTCAAGGGCTAAGGAGGCTTGGGATGTTCTATCTTATGATACTTTTAGTCAGAAGCATGAGAAGCCAAAGAGCTCTTTTGTCAAACTCAATGTAGATGGTAGTTCTAAAGGCCAACCAGGAGTTACAGCCACTGGAGATGTTATTAGAGATGACGATGGAGTAAGGCTAGCTGGTCTTGCGCATAATATTGATATCCTTTTTCAATTACAGCAGAAAATATGGGCTTTCGTTTCAGGAGTTCAAGTTATGTTGGAGTATGGGTCTTAGAAGAACACAAGTTTAGTCAGATTCTCTACTTGTGTTACAAAAATGGCAAGGCCGTATTTCTTCAATGGATCTAAATTTTCATCTGCTCAAAGGCATTAAGGAGATGTTGCATAAGCATTGGGACTATTCCTTATCTCACATTCATCGTGAAGCCAATTAGTATGCCGATTAAATGATCACAAATCATGGGCATTTGCTTTTAAGATTACATTTCTTGGAGTCACCTCCTAGTGGGATTTTATCTTTTTTATTTGCTGATGTATTAGGTAATACATAGCCTAAAGTGATGTGATAAGTTGTCTCTTTATTTTCAATAAAAAAAATTATATATGTTACTTTTTTAACATCAACATTTTAAATTTTTTATGTCAAAATTCTTAATAGAGAGTTTGAGAAGATACAAATTATTCAAAAATATTTTTGTAAAAGAAATAAATATTATTTTTTAATATAAATTTATTTGGTATGACGTTTTACATTTATTCTTATATATTGACATCAAGATTTTAAACATGTTAATTTTAACTATATGTATTTTTTTCCTTATTCTTATACATTAACATTAAAATTTAAAAAATATTAATTATGTAATTATTATGTACACGGCAAAGACTGCAGTAAAGTCGACCCTAGATAAGGTTAAGTCAAGTTTAAATTTAAATTAATGGTTAAAATTAATTATTAAATATTTGATGGTCTTAATTTACTGACTTCACAGCAAGGTATACATAGAAGTATGATACTTTAGAGGCAAAAACCATTAAATATCAGGCATTGATATTTAAAACTTGTTGTTCAATTGAACATTTAAAAAGTAAATTAAAAAAAAAATGAAATGATCTCCCAACAGAAAACTCCCTCTTGTTGTGATTCCGTATCTCTTTCCAATGACACAGTGATATTTTATCACAGGCTTCAGTTGGAGTGGTTCCCTGTGTAATAGTTTCTCTCCAATTTAAACCATTCCCTGCATACAGATATGCTTTCATGGCAATGGATATTTATCTTCATAAAGCAATACCAGCTTAGGAAAATTGTTAGGCAACACAAATCTGAGCTTGTGAACCTCCTTTTACCATATTTCTTTGACGTTGATAATATATTTTACTTGCATTGAGAAAAAACAGAATAGAAAAAGAGAATCCCAACAAGTTGAAAACACTAGTAAGAGAAAAGAGGCAGATGACTAGGTATCGGGTGTATCTGTTTTACTCTATATATGAATATGTTAAAGAAGACTTGTTCGAGAAAGTTGGATATCCGCTATAACCAAATCTCTGTTTCTTTCTTCAAATAAAGACTGAATTCAAAGCAAGGAGTCCGTAAAAAGATTTCAGTTAAAACGGAATAATGATTCTTTACAATCTACAGATTTCACCGAATGTTTACTTTTTCATAAACAAAAATAGAGAGTATCTTCCTTTTAAACTCTACTCCTTATCTTATCTGCGCTTTTTCATCCTTATCTACTGTTTTTATCCACTTTATATATTTAAACCAACCCGTATCTTGCTTATTTATATACTCTGTTACATGTTACTTTGATGATTAATTTGATTTGATTGATCAAACCATGGCCAAGATAAATTTGCTCCCTGCTTTTCTTTTGCTTGCTTTGTTGTGTGCGTGTGAAGCACAATACGAAGATATTGGTGTGTATGAGCTGAAGAAGGGAGATTTCTCTGCTAACTTCACCAACTACGGCGCTGTTATGCTTTCTCTTGTTCTCCCGGATAAAACAGGTATGTTGCCAACCGAGCGCCTTAACTGACATTATGCTGGCCTACGTATGTATGTATAACCATTAATTCTTTTTTTTTTTTGTTTATCAGGGAAGTTGGATGATATCGTTCTTGGATATGACTCAGTAGAGGATTACAAGGTAGTATTCATTCTTCTTCCTGTTTTGTATTTTCCTTTGTTTTTATTGGTTCGACCTGTCAATATCAACAATACTCGAATGCCTTTAGGTGATCATATATGATGCGATTTTGAATTTATTGCAGAATGATACAACCTACTTTGGAGCCATTGTCGGGCGTGTAGCTAACAGAATCAAAGGGGCTGAATTTACTTTAAATGGTGCATCTTATAAACTAGTAGCTAATGAAGACAAAAATACACTTCATGGTAGGGCTTATGATATCTTGCTAAACAAGTTGCAATTCTCGCAATCCTTCAATAAGTTTGTTGAGCTTCCCATTTTTAATCTCAGGTGGCAGCAAAGGATTTGCAGACGTTGTCTGGCATGTAAAAAATTACAAACAAGATAGCCATGTAACATTTACTTACTATAGTTTTGATGGCGAACAAGGTATGCATATATACACTGTTTTTAATTAAATTTAAGTAATCTTATCGTAACTTGAAAATTTAAGTTATTCTAGCTAACACTAGGAATATTTCTCTTAATTTTGCAGGCTTTCCTGGCAATCTGCAAGTGTCAGTGACATATATGATCATAGGTACGAACAAGCTAGGCGTGAAAATGGAGGCCAAGCCTCTGAACAAGGCCACCCCAGTGAATTTAGCCCTGCACACCTATTGGAACCTTGGGGGCCACAGCAGTGGGGACATCCTGTCACACACTCTCCAGCTCCTTGGCTCTAGTATCACCCCAGTTGATGATGAGCTGATTCCAACAGGCAAAATCGATCCCGTTCAAGGAACCCCCTATGATTTTCTCCAACCCCATGAGATTGGCAGCAAGTTGGACCAGTTGCCTCATGGATACGATGTAAACTATGTGCTAGACAAATCCAGTCCTCAACACCTGAGGAAGGTGGCAGTGGTGCATGAAAGCAAGTCTGGCAGAAAAATGGAGCTCTGGACCAACAAGCCAGGGGTGCAGGTTTATACAAGTAACATGTTGAAGAGTGAGAAGGGCAAAGATGGATTTGTTTATTCAACTTACGCAGGACTTTGCTTGGAGACTCAAGGCTTCCCTGATTCAGTGAATCACCCCGATTTTCCTTCTCAGATTGTAAATCCTGGAGAAACTTACAAGCACTTTATGGTTTTCAGGTTTACTGCCAATTAGGCCATTATAGTATGTCCATCAAAGTAGAAGTTGAAGCAAGCTTTCTTTCCTTTTCTTATTGGAATTTTCTTTTTGCAACTTCACTTGATTCATAATATGCCCAATTTTATCAATGAAGATTCAGATTATCTTTTACTAAACTCTGGTTTGTAAGCCTTATGAATTAAGGCTTTAATTGTGCATGTTGACTTGTTGATTCATTAATGGTTTATCACTACTAAATGCAGTTAAGATTCAAATCCCAATTAGGGTCATATAAGAATTCTATTGTTTGTTTAAAGAATTAGTTTGTGTGTAAGCCATTTTTATGGATTAACAGTTCTTTGTAAAAAGGAATTCTATAGTAATAATTCTTGGTAAAAATAAAAATGAATATCTTTTTTATATAATTTATCTAAAATAAAAGCATGGGCAGAGCATAGTTTCAATATTGCATAAGTATGCATTGAAGGATGCCAGAAGGAGATCATGCCTTACCACAAATTTTGTCATCTCTCTCCTTCCAAACAAAGAAAACATGAAACTCATGCCGGAGTAGAGACTTCTCCTCGAGCTTCTTTTGGGCCCATAGCAACTTACTCATCCAATCTACAGCCTGTTTTTGAATCCTAAAAAGCTGCAAAATATATATGTGCTGCCTAATTTGCTTGGTGAAGCTGCAAGTGGAAAATAAAATGATCACAACACTCCATTTTTTAATTGCTTAAATTAGGTTTGATCCATTATGTGCTGACAGTATAAATTTTTGTCAATTTATTTAAATGTTACGTGAACATGATAAATGTCAGTACATAATCAATGTTATTATCTCAATCAATTAACTCAAAATGTTAAATTTAGTTTAAGATTAATAAATTGAAAATATATATAAAAATTCAATTTATACAAAATATTATATAGAGAATAAATCTACATTTTTAATAGAGTAGAAAAACTAGCTACATAATTTAATAAAAAAATATGAAAAGTGTCAATTAAAGAAATCGTAATAAATTTATTATTAAAAACAATTTGGTGCTCAAGTGAAAAGAAGATCCCCGACACTAATTCTCTATTTTGTAGGTACCCTTCCAGGATTGCCATTCATGCTATTTTATGTGTGTGTGTGTGTTGTTGAAACCTAATCAATCTGTGTCAGTCCAGCTTCTTTAGCTTGTGTCTTATGGCTACCAAGTGCTTGTTGTGCACCATCTAGTAGCAGAATTAAACCACATGATTCTCTGTTCTGCCCCTTAACGAAGGAAAGGCAAGCCAGCTACTGTTATTATAAGCAGAAACTTGCCATAAGCTTTTTCCCTCCTGGTCAACAGAAATTCTTAAAAATGACTTCACAAAGGATTCTCAATTGGTGGAGAATACGAGAGAAATGCAAGGATTAGTAAGAAAAAGACATCTAATGATACGAATTTGATAAGTACTAGATTTTGGGTTTGAGTTTGGTGTTTGTATATGTGGTATAATTTTTTACAATCATAAATAATTCTTTTCCATCATCCCAACGAATGTAAGCAAATTAAAGAGCATTGAACAACTTTAAATAGTTATCTTTTTATGATTATATGTTTGATTTATTTTTCTCTGCTAATTTCACTATGTATCTAAATGTGCTTTTATTTGATTAGTGTGATTTATGATTATTTTCCTAACCACATAACGTAAGAATGCTCAAGTTGGCAAGTTGAATTAATTAGAATCTAATTTAATCTTTATCCAATTATCTGAGAAATTAAATATGATTCATATATATCCTTTCAAATCTCTATAAAAGAAAAAGAGGTATAAGAGAAGCAAACCAAATTAGTTGAACATAAGGAAGCTGAAATCCTGTTAACACTGCCAAGTTACATATCCTACATCACTTTGTAAAAGACAAAATTAAAATTGTATGAATGGAACCATCTCCAATTAATACCAAAGATCCAACTTCAGTACATCACAGATCAATTAGGCATCTGAAATCGACAAAGTGGACAAACGTTGCTCTTCTCCAACCAGCTGACGATGCAATCGTGATGATATACATGGGAGCAAGGCATTCCACAAGCTTTCATCCGATCCAAAATCTCTTCCAAACAAATAACACACTGTCCTGTAAATCCTTCAACTTTAACCTTCTCCAGTGCCTCTCTAGCTCCCTTGCTTGCACCCCACAGCCTGAAAACTTGCACATCGAAGGATTCTGCAGAAGCGTCGAGCTCAGAAAGTAGCGCTTCCTCTTCCATTAGTCTTACAGGACAAAGAGTCACAACAATAGGTATGTTCTTGCGGTTCTTGTTTTGTACCTCGTTCGCTGCTGAACGTGCACATTCTATGATCTTTTGCGTTACCGTCGCATGAAGGCTAAAGGGTACATGCATCCGTGAAAGCTTGCTAGATATAGCTGACCAGGAAGTGCCGGACTGCATCAACTGGCCCTGTGGCACCAAAAGCTGTTGCATAATGGTTGGTTCATGAGAAACGATGTTAGCAAAGATTTCAATAGAAAACACAGGGAAGGGTGAGGAATCTTCCAGTTGCATCAGATGATCATGTTCACCGTCTTCCGCCTCAATCTGCCATGCCACACATTGATAGTAAGACATTGTCTTTTGTAAAAAAAAAAAAAAAAAAGCTCATGAAATAGAGGAGATTTGACCAAAGAAAACCCTGATAAATATATATATATATATGTTGGGTGGGTGACTTGATGCTTATTTACCTAGAGCTATGAAGAGTGGGTGTATGGTTTCCTTAATGGAACTTAATGTGTAAGATTTGCAATTCAACCAACATCGTAGGGAAAGAGTGAGGCTTTAATGATTTTGTCTTGATTGAATGCTGGGTGGGTGCTGATTATTTATGTGTGCTCAGCAATGTAGATATTCCACAACAAACATTAGGAAGGAAGTAACTTGGAAGCTAAAAAATAGAAGGTATTAACTTCGTTAGGACAGTTGAGCTTTCTAATTGTATCTTATTTTCTTGCATTAAGGATTGAAGAAGAGGACAACATTCCTAATTAGTTGGAATACAAACAAATTGTTTTAAACACGCCTTGATCCGACACAAACATTTTCTATTTTCTATAACATTATTGTCACCTCATTATCCTTATTCTTTTTTTCATTTGATTTGCCATTATTCTATGTTTTTTAACAAGTTAGAATTTTCATTTGATCAACTTAAACTAAACTAAACTAAACGAAATTACCTTGACCCCATAGTAAGTATATACATATATTTCTTTGTTTGAGTTAAATTTGGATTTTCGTTTCCAATAAAAACAAAAAAGAAAAAAAACAAAATTTATCCCAGAACCAAATACAAGAAAAATAATGAAAAAGAGCATTATTATTTCGATTTGATCATATTGTTTTCAAAAGTAAAATACTACACACACTAACGTACGCATAAAACAATTTTTCTTCTAATCACCAATAAATGCAAAGCTAAAATTCATATATATTAATTTCTTTCATTTGCCAAATGAGTTTAAATATTAAAAAAATTAATATTTGATATATTGATAATGTATAATTTCTATACACTGCTCACCAAATCCTGATATCTCATTAATGAAGTAACACTAAAAATCTTAAGAACTTAGAGTTAAATACTAAAAAAGTTTTAATAATTAGTTAAATAAAAAAAATTATTTTTTCTCTTTAAAAACTCTACTCTTTTTAATCCCTCTCTAACTCCATTATTTTCTTTTTCCCTTTTTCTTCCATTAGAATTAAATTTAACAAAATTGATCAACTTCAAGAGATTTCAAAATAATTTTTACTTATACTCGCCAATTATTTCATTTTATATGAAAAAATTCATATTTTTTATTGTATTAAAAAATCTTTTATCTTTTGATTTGTATCTATACAAATCTTTAGTTATAATAGAAAATTAAAACTTCTGATTTGATTTATTACCAAATCATGTTATCAAGCCAGAATAACTTTTGATTTAATTTGTCATATAATTATGTTATCAAGTAATGTCATATATCACATAGATAAAAATGCTAATTAACGTTAAAACTGACCATTATTAATTTTTTGTTAAAGCTAAGAACTTGTGTGTGGATATAAAAACAAAAATAAAGTCTTTTTTAATAAAATAAAAACATTAAAAAAGTTTACATAAATAAAATAATTTAAGGTTTTTTTTTTAATATTTAAGTCTTTGTGAAGTAGATTGTGATAGGCACATATCATTTCAGAAAAAGAATCAATCCAGATTTCGGGGTCAACTACTTCGCTGCCCGCAGCTCACCTTACTTCTGGCTTTAGGCATCGGTTTATCGTGATTTTTGTTTGCGCTTATTCCCAAATATAATGTTGCAGTTCGCATGCAGTACTGTCGTTTTGAAAATGTAATCAGGAGAAGAAGAAACAGAGATTGCCTGTCCAAAACAATGGTTCTCAAAACAGGACATAACTCACCGTAGACAGCAGGGCAAGAAACCATCCCTCATGCCAAAATTTCTATCATTCAACACGTACACAAATGATTGGATCACATGTACAACAAACCAGTTGCATTTTGATGAATCCATGGAAAATGTTAATAATAGCACATTGTAAACCCATAAGTTCAATGAGCAGAGTGAGTTGTAGCAGTTGTCTTCTTGAAATCAATTTTGTCAACTTTAACCTCTCCGTCAATGAGTTCATAGACATAGACCACAACACGTAGCCCATCAATATCCATGAGGACAAAGCTAGGGTTCACATCATAAGTGATGCTGCTGTATGCACCTGTAGCAGACCCTGGGTTTATAACAACTCCTCCTTCATGTTTGTAAGCAGTGAACTGGTGGGTGTGCCCTGTCACAAGTATGTCGACATCCAGCTGCCTCTGTAGCATGGCTAGTGAGTCTAGGTCACCCCATGGAATAACCTTAAAGCATCAAGTCACAATAAGATTGATTAGTGTTGGTTGAAACATACAGATGAAGTAATGAATTCAGATATATTTCATGGCAGCAGGAGATGCATGGTTCATTATAATCCACATCTATAGCAAACTAATTACTGATTTAAAATGCATAAAAACATTTAAAAGCCCTTCGAGATATTCTCTGATACCAAGAGATTCTTTTCTGTTCAAAGTGACAGTAGTATCATACCTGATGACCATGGCATAATCCCAACTTGAATTGCCCAATAGTTAGTGTTTTGGTCTCGGGATATCTTGTTTCTTCATCATATTCACCTCTTGCAATATGCAAGTCAGGACAAAGCGACTTCAGGTAATCTTGAACTTCCTGAAATTATAGTCAAAATTTGCTGAGCCAGTGGAAATTTAATAAAAGAAATGGAAAAGATACAAAAGTGAAATGTTAGAAATTTACAATTTCTACGGGGTGGTTCCCAAAGAAAGAAAAATGACAAACAGAAGTCACATTGCATCCAGCTTTTTCTTTCTCTATAATTTCCAATTTGGCTTACAAAGCTAACAAATCAACTTATTCAAATTCTTCATGGACTATTCAAATAAGAGAAAGACAGGTAGAACATGAGTTATTAACTTGTTACTAATTTCTAAGTTTAACCCGTATATCAACTTCAATCCTACTTTAACCTTTAAATAGTTGAGAAAAGGCCACAGGAAAGTTAATGACTACTTATATGCATTTGATACCAAAGATGAAGGGAGAAGAGAGTATAATCGTTAGCAGCGAAAAAAGAGTTAGGTAAGAAATGCGAAAAACTACATATGGCAGGCAAGGCAGTACAGGATATTCAGCTAGAATGGAGTAAAAATTACCAATGATCTAGGAAACGGATGTGACAGTAATTTAGAATAGTAACTTTGTGATTATGGTAGGTACCTTCTGTTGATTCTTCGAAATTCAATTTAGAAACATGAAAGAACAAGGAGAATCTTATGTATACTTGGATACTCAGTTGCAATGCATAAGGTAACAAATAATGAACCCTCCTATATTTGCAGCTTATCGAAAAAAGAATAAATTCAACATCAACAACTGTATGGCAAACACATTGGAATCCAGATCAAGTTAAGACTTACATTTAGCATTGGTACACAAGGAGTGAACAAAATCCACAAGTATCACAAAGAAGAGGATCCCTCTATTGGGTTTATGAGAATAAAAGTATAACGCCCTAAAATTGGATCATTGGTAATGATTCAATTTTGAAACAAAAATTGAGAAATTTAACATTGGTCAATCTCTTCAATTAAGGCACAGCAGAGAAGCATAAAACAAAATTGCCAAATCAAATTTTACTAGATTTCAGTAACAAAATAACCCAAAATGAAAATAAAAAAGTAAAAATCAGATGGAGAAAGAGGGATACTTTAATGCAAAGATTGCCAGTGCAAATGATGTGTTGGATCTTGCCAGGAACCAGCATGGACTTGAACTTTGGAGGGAGATCAGCTGCCCGATGGGGTATATGCAAATCCCCCAGAGCCAAGACCAGTACCATCGTCTTCAACAAATACAGCTATCTACCAAACACAGTTAATAAGGAAAGAAGTTAATTTAAAAAGTAACCCAACAAGGAAACATGAACACGAAAAGGGGAAATGGTGTGAATTTTTTTATCGCCAGGGAGAGATTTCGATTGAATCCTTGGGAGGAAGCCCAGAAATGCACATCAAGATAGACAAGGCTCTTTAGAACTGTTTCGTCTTTCCCTCGTTGACGATTGAAATCTCAGACTGCTAGGTGGCGTGTCGCCACTCCAGTTTTGTTCTATTGACGGGAAGTACAGTTCTAAACGACCTCGTTTAAATTTGAGGGGTAACAAAAAATACAGTAACTCCTGTTTTGTTTTTTTTTTTCTTTCTTTTTTTTTTTAAAAAAATTATTTTTGAAGAGATGATATGTAAAGCACAATAACACAACACAAAAATGAAACTCTAATTTCAATTGAAAAAAAATTAAATAACATAAAAATTGAAAAGACAAGGCATGGGGATATTTGGAAACTCCTTTTGCTTTGTTGGAATGAAAAGTTCTTTCAAGGCAGCCTCCAATGACCAATGTGGAGTCTGGAATGCTGCTCAATTCACACACATTCATCAAAGCATGATCAGGTTCTGGAAATTCACCCTCCCAGCCAATCCCATGCCAAACAATCTGTTTATCTTACCAAAAAAAATTATATACTTTCACATGCTAGAGGCCAGAAATTACTTTCTTTCAATTATTCTAGGATCTGCAGACCAGACGAACTGAAATCAATTCGATAACATGTCCTTTATAGGCATCTTTTGGCGGGTATCAGGCAGTTGTAACACGTTTGTGAGCAGTGAATGAAAACTTGCACTTATGGTGATGACAAAATTTGGTGGCACCATTTCTGTACAATCCAAAGATCCCTGTCTCTATAGGGTTTGCTTAAAACCACAAAATTTGCCGCCAGATACTACTACCTTTTGTTTGTTGTTTTTTTTTTTTTTAACATGAACAAACTACCATCTTAAGGGTGACAACAAGGGAGAAAGGGGATATAAAGTGAGACGCAGGAGGGAAAACTGGACCAGGCTCATTATCTCTGTGGATATTACAAATGGTGAAGGGATTTCTTTCCAGATGGCAGTGATTTCACATGGCGAGGGGTTCTCATTTCAGATAACAATTCTTCCTGAGGGGATTTAACAAGGCTGGGAGATTTCATTTCGAATAGCTGTAGCTCCTTTGAGGATTTAACATTGTGAGCAGATTTCATTTCAAATGACTGCCGTTCCTGTGGGGATTTCACATGGCTAGAAGATTTCATTTCAACTGGCAGTGAAGAGCCTCTGTGGGGCATATTGGCAGGTGAGGTAGGATAACTTTTTCTCAATGGGGACTTTGGTATAAGACTAGCTACTGCTTGTGCCTCTGAGTGTGGGGAGGCAGGAACACCTCTTGGGGAAGAAAGGGTAGGAAGCTGTTCTAGGGCAGATAAAACATCAGCCATTCGTGGTCGGACCTTGGCTTCGCTTACACACTGTAATGCCAGGAGGGCAACAGTATAAGCTGCTCTCTGAGGGTACTGACCCTGTAACTTGGCATCCATAATTCGGAATAACCTGCGCCTATCACTCAAATAGGGCTTTGCCCAATCCACTAGATTCTCCTCCACTCCAATTTTTGTTCTATCAACAGCACGGAGTCCTGAAAGCAGTTCCAGTAACACAACTCCGAAGCTGTAGACATCACACCTTGCAGTTAGCCGACCTGTACAACATTAGAAGAGCTAATTAATTCACATAGTGCCGCAAATACTAAAATTCAGGGGGTTTTCTTATAGGTTCAGCATCCCAAATTGATGAAATGGAGTTATGTGGTTATAAACTCAAACAATAAGACTATTTTTTTTTCTGAAAAAAAGGCAGTAAAAAATTCACTTGGCAAGTAACTCAAGCAATCAGCTAAAGTCACAACTTCATAGAAAGGAGTCCAGGCTATATTACTAATTAACACTATGTCAATCCGAGTTCTGTTTAGAAGAAACATAAAAAGAATTAGAAAACAAGTGCCCAAGGCCAGTATAAGGTACTTTCTTAGGATATATTTAATGCACTCACATTATTGAAGGAAAAAATGAATGCATTAAATACAAAAGGTAAAGGATCATACCTTGACCAATTCTCCCGAGGCACTTAGCATTTGCCAAACAGGAATTCCTTATGAGAGTTATTTAGGCAAATGAAAAATAGAGAGCAGCACTATTGACTCATAAATCAGTACGCTTATACCTCATCCAGAATTTGTTATTATAGGCTTTTCAAAAAAAAAAAATTGTTATTACGGGATTGAAAAGTAGGAATGCCCTGGGCTGTCATTCCATGGTTTTCATACAAAAGAAGGTGCTAATATTAGTTCCATAGGAACTGGGAAGGGATTTTCTGTTTTGGTAGAACACCGTCCAGACTCAGTGATGCCTTTTTCAAGTGTTATATGTTATGTATGAAATATGAAGTTCAAACAAAACTTTTTCTCTGGCTTTCTAGAAAGCAAAGTGCCATTATCTATTCTGAAGGGATTAGGAAAGGATTAACTTTTGGTCCGCAGAATAGACAGAATGGAATATAATAGGTATTCTGTGAGAATAGAATACGTTGAGAAAAGAATAGAATAATTATTAAGTAGTTTGATACGACAAATGAAATAAGATAAGAATAGTTATTATGACTTATTACAGTGTTTGGTTGGTAAAAATAACTTTAGAATAAAAAAAAACAGAGAATAAGAGGAAAAATATCTTTTATTATATATATATATGATTATTTATTGTTATTTTATTTTTTTAATATTAATAATTTATGATTTATTTAAAATATTAATAATTGATAATTTAAATTTTTATATTTTATTTATAATTTAATCATTAACATTATAAAATATTAATATTTTATTTATAAGTTAAATGTTATTATGATTATTTATTTTTATTTTTTAAATATGATTAATTTATAATTTATTTAAAATATTAATAATTGATAATTTAAATATTGATATTTTATTTATAATATAATTATTAATATTTTAAAATATTAATATTTTATTTATAATTTAAATGTTATTATGATTCTTTATTTTTATTTCATTTTAGTTTTTAAATATTAATAATTTATTTAAAATAGTAATAATTGATCGTTTAAATATTAATATTTTATTTATAATTTAATCATTAATATTATAAAATATTAATATTTTATTTATAATTTAAATATTATTATGATTCTTTATTTTTATTTTATAATATTTTTTAAATATTAATAATTTATAATTTATTTAAAATATTAATAATTATTCATTTAAATATTAATATTTTATTTTTAATTTAATCATTAATATTTTAAAATATTAATATCTTATTCACAAATATTAATAAGGGTAGGGTTGTAAATTTCTAAATTTATGAGGGGTAATTTAGTCTTAATAATTTTGAAAGTTGTTTCCATCAAACATAGAATAGTTAACACGAAGGGGGTTGGGTGTAGTTAAAGAGGACTTTTTAGTAATTTTGAAGAATGGGTAAAACAGGAGAATTGCTACCCCTTGCCAAAAGACCAACCAAACACGGGGAGCAAATACTAACTGAGAACCAAACGTGCAGTAAGAGTTTCAATGGAAACACTTAAAATAACCCTAGACTAGTAGGGACCTTTTCCCATTGTCCCATGCTACATATAAATCTGAAGTTAATGAATACGTCTAGTAACTCCGATGGTGACGACAGTAAAAACAATCTCTGAAGTCATTTAAACCAAAGAAGTTTATATGAAATCATGAATTTGAATAGTACAAGCTTAAACACTATTGTCAACAAAAATTTCATAAGTTGGGCAAAAAAAGTAACCTGTAGCAATATATTCAGGGGCAGCATATCCTTGAGTACCCATGACTTGAGTAGAAACATGAGAATTATCACCAACAGGGCCTGCTTTTGCCAAGCCAAAGTCTGAAAGTTTGGCATTGAACTCCTGCCAAAATGATGCACAGGTTGTGAACTGTTGGAAAACTTGGCATAGTAAAACTGAATAAATTTCCAATGCCATGATCCAAAGATTGGCTACAAAATTAAGCCAATTAATCATGAATGTTACTATTAACATACATAAAAGATAGGCTGATTTAAAACAGGAAAAACACTGAGGATAGAACATTAAACCTTTTTCTATGTTTTTTTAAAAATTTTCAGAAAGATTTTTTACCGGATCCATTTCAGAAAATCTTTTAACTGGTTCCCTTTACAGACCTCTAGAACCTTTGCTGAATTGACTAATCCAGTCCAGCACAATCAACATACTAGTATTCATTTTTTAGCCAACATACCGAATCTAGTAGGATATTTGATGCCTTAAAATCTCGGTATATAACTGGTTGTTCAGAATCATGTAAGAAAGAAAGGCCTCTAGCAGTATCTATGGCAACCCTGATCCTTAAAGCCCATGAAAGTGGTCGAGCACCCCCTGAAATTACGACAGCCTCAAATTTAATGGACAAACAGACATCTTTTGGCATAATAGGAAAAGCAACCATAATATCCAAACAAGCACAGATTGAAAATAGAAGAAAATTCACTTGGTAACTTTTTTTATTTTCAGGAGACTTGTTGATGATTTTTCATAAAGTGTTGGTAGGTATGCAATAAGCATACCTCAGAAAAAGAAGAAAGAAATTAATTAGGCAGCTAGCTAGGATATTAAGTTTACAAGTTCTATTGAGAAAGGCATTGACTTACTTCTGAAAAGATGATTCTCCAAGCTGCCTTTGGATAGATACTCATAGACCAAAAGCCTATTTTCCTCTTCCAAGCAATATCCAATAAGTTTGACCAGATTTGGATGATGAAGCTGACCAAGGTAATTAACTTCACTCTACAATCAAAACAACCTATACATGAGCCAAGAAAATTTTCCGTCAAAAGGAGAAAGTTAACATGATGAAGGAAGAAACCTACCAGCCACTCCTTATGACCCTGAAACCCTTCAGGTTTAAGCTTCTTCACAGCAACAACCATTCCATATCCAGGCCTCGCAGCTACAAGGGTTTGCTCAACCATCCACCCTTTGTAAACATAACCAAACCCACCTTCCCCAATGAGATTGTCTAAACAAAAGTTTCTAGTAGCATTTTTGAGCTCAGTAAATGTGAATGCTTTCAGATGGGGGGATGACAATATATCACTTTCAGTTTTTGCAGCAAAGCGACTTCCTGGTACACTTTTTCCACTATCAGCTTTAATCACACTTGAAGAAGCAGAAAATGATTCTCTCTTTGGAAGTTTTGAAGCACCTGAAAGAGAAAACTAGTTCCCTGTTATGAGACTTTTAAGATTTAAGAGGAATTTACTGGGAGCAAAACGTGTAGCCAGAGAATTCATCATAAGAAAACAAATGCAGATATGTCAAAACCAAAGCTGATTACATGCAGGATCATTAGTGGTGTAACAAATAGCACATTGTATGGCATGGCTAAAAATAAAATACAATTATAAGTACAAGGTGTATGAAATTGCATCAACTTCAAATTATCTAGCACTTACTTGCAATCTTGTAGAGGTGTGAATTATTAACAAATAGCTTCTTCTCTATAGGCTCAAATAATATAAATTTTACCAGAGTAAATAGTACCAAACATCTAGGCATATAGTATAATAAAATATCAAAAAAAGCATGCGGGCTGGCCAAAGAAATTTTCCAAGCACACATGTTTTGGATGTAATAATATTTTTAAATACTAGTTATGAAGTTAAATTTAGCCACAAGTTGTGTATATTATTAATTGGAAGGGGGAAACTTGAGCAAACAGCATATATTACGAATTTTAATAATCTCATCAATCAGAGTGCATCTATGTCTCAATTTTATGCTAAGCTATAAATTTAGCTGAGCTGAAATATCAGAACTTAGCTTTGAGGTCAGCTGTACAGAATGATGCATCGATGAACTAACTATTAAGAAACAGCCCAGTGATGTATGTGACTATACAATTCTAACCATAAACAAAACCTTGATTTTGGCCTTGTATAACAAGGATAATCTTAAATGCTAGTTATAGCAGTTAAACTTAGCCACAAGATTTGTACAGTGTTACATGTAAGAGAGCAACTTAAGCAAACGAATTAAATTAAATTATAATCATTTATCACACGTCTACATCTCAATTTTGAGTAAATCTCTACAAACTCTACAAACTAGCCAATATAAAAATAATAGCACTTAGGTGTGAAGCCAACCATACAGCAAATTTCATTGATGAACAAGATATCAAGAAACAGCTCAGTCAGGACTTCAAACACACATTCTTTCCATACACATGACCTTCATTTGGGCTTTGAACCAAATGGAGCACCCAAGTGGACCATGAAACAGAATAATCTACATCTTCGAAGATGATACGATTTTAATTTAGGACATTAGACAAATTCTTAAGAGACAAGCTCTGATTCCATGTTTGTGAACCAGACTGCCATGGGAGCTTGTTGACTACTTAAAACAGAACCACAAACACAAATTAAAGCAACAGCTAATTATCTTAGGAATCATGTAATAGCTATCATGTGACTGAGATCTGTTTAGTGACATTTGTCCAAGTAGACAAATTAGCTTATCCTTGCCTGATTGTAATTAAGAATGCTACATTGACAAGAAACATTGTCGTTATCTGACTGAGATACAAGCACATTAATATCGTTATCTGACTGAGATACAAGCACATTAATATATATATA